AAAAAAAAAAAAAAAAAAAAAAAAAAAAAAAAAAAAAAAAAAAAAAAAAAAAAAAAAAAAAAAAAAAAAAAAAAAAAAAAAAAAATAGATGCGACGCTTTTGTGGGCCAAACGATTATGGGTTTGCGAGTCTCGAAGGTGGTAGATGACGCGCGATTCACGCTGGAATTCTCCGAGGTGACGCGTCGTTAAAAAGAGCCCGTAATGGCACCGAGCGATAAGCCGATCCGTATAGTATATGTACCATTAGACGCTGTAAAAAAAAAAAGGGAAGAGATATACGTCATTGTACTTGGGGATAAACAGCGTGACGGAGGAAAAATTTTTACTTTCCGTAACGCGGGTATACGGCTCGTAATTGTTGCCCCGGGGCTGTCTAATTACCAAGTTTTAATGACTCATCCCGTGGGTGTTGCTTGTGGATTTGTAATATACATCAAAGTTGAATTAACTTTGGGACTGAAAATTTCAACAACTTTGGCCGCGGTTATAAATATTCAGTGCACAGGTCTTTGACGCAGCCGCGCAAGATTTGCACGATAATCCGTTTGGAGGGGTCGTCGGTGCATCAAAAAAAGTGGCGGTTCATGAAAAAGTTTAACCCCGTTGACCGAACGACGGAGACAAAGTTGGACGAGTGATTAAAAAGCTCCCTCGCTGACTCCACCGCGTGGTGTGTTTTTTTTTTTTTTTTTTTTTTTTTCGGCTCAAACATAAAGGAAATGTCCTATTCTAATATTTGGACATGCAATTCCGAATAAAAATCATAACTAATTTCGAGGTAGTTGTCATTTTTACAATATAAAGTATCTTTTGGGTGTCGACAAAATTTTACAATCCAATAAACTTTAATATATAAACAAATCAGTTGGATGTACTTTTTTTGTTGTGTAATCAAGCATTTTTCCGGTTTAAAATTAAGCTGCCGTTTGGAATTTAAAAATGTGGCAATAATGTGATCCTATTATTTACAGAACAGTTTAAGAACTTTAATGTGTTAATGACTGAAAAAACAGGGTAGCTCAAAACTTTTTTCTTCAAATCGTTTATCATACTTTTTTTCGCTGAATATTAAACGTACACGTGTTTTCTAGATAAAAATCAACAATTGTTTATAAAGTTATTAATTTACTTCGAGAGTTGTTGTCTTTTTTAATAAAAGTTGAATTTTTAACAAATCGATCACAATTTTAAACCCTTGTGTTAACCACTTAAGATGAACAAACTTATTTTTTCTTACCAAGATATGTCAAATGTGACAAAATTATCAATGATCATTATAAAATTGTCTACATAGCTGACCTAAAACTTATCCATGTTATTTCATTATTTTGACTTTTTACAAATATCAGACATCGTTTTCGAAGTAAAATACTTAATTTTAAAAAGTTTCTAAGTATGATTCAGAGCAGAAATCCTACTCATTAATTATTACACAGCTTTGACAAAATTAGTTGATCAACAGTTCCGTTGAAATTTTTTATTAAAAAAAAAAAAAAAAAAAAAAAAAAAAAAGTAAACGTTCTCATTTGTTCCAAGATCGGTGCAGTTCAGCGACGCGCAAGCGATGAAAAACAAAATGTACTTATTTGACGCGCGGCAATAAATTTCACTGCTCATTAATTTGAGCCCAAGAGCGCTGGCCGAGTCATCCTTCGCGATAAACGAACCAACCGCTTTATGCTAATTTCGATTTGACACACTTAATTGAGTTGTCATTAAAAAAGGAAAAAAAAAAAATTGCCAAAGTCATCACCGCTGCATGAAAATCGGGAAAAGTGCATCGAAGTACTCCACATTGCAGTATTGACACGAGACTAGATCGGCAATCTGTCGTCATAAAGTAATTGAAACCTCGAAAACCTCGCCCTCGTGTAATCACCTGCAATAAATGCACCCGCGGATGGCGCTAAAGATCTCGAACAAATCCCCGCAGCCTCGCTCCAAATTTCGCTTGGCGCCACTTGCGAGTCCCTGAAATATATACTTTGTGCACGCCTGTACTTACGCACGTTGAAAAATAATAATATTGTCGATCCAGGTGCCGGCGTATCGCAGCGATGGGTGTGCATCATCATGACCTTCTTCTCGTTGTTCTGCGCCTACACGATCCGCGTGTGTCTGTCGATCGCCATAACCGAGATGGTCGAGCCGCACAACGAGACCAGCAAGTTCCGCGACGACACCTGTCCCTCCGAGCCCGCGGTTGTCGGCAACGACACGAGGACGCACCACACGGTCGCCGCCATCGCTGCAACGGCCAAGGGTGCCGGTGACCTCTACCAGTGGTCGGAATATACACAGGTACTTTTTTTTTTTTTTTTTTTTTTTCCCGTAGGATCGCGACGTCATGTGCTTTTTGTTTCCCTCCCTCACCCCCACCCCCTCGTTCGCGATTGCGACTCATCCCCGGCATGTACGTACACAAAACGTCGCTCCGATAAGTCGATCGCGTCTTAAAAGATATGATGTAGCCTTCGATCGGTCTGTCTGCGGCTTGTCGATTTTTCTTCCATTAGCACGACGAGCGTGAAATTTTTCCGCTGATTACGACGGTATTGTGGCTCGGTTGGGTATATAAAGCCGTCGATGGCGACTGTCAAATATTATTTTTGCCTCTCGCCGATGATGTATTTGTATTCGTAGAGTTGAGAAAAAGACGGTTAAGAACACTAAATTTATTTATTTATTTATTTATTTTTTTTTTTTTTTTTTTTACAGTAAATTTATTTTAGAATATCCATGTGGTGTTGATGTAGTTGTTGTGACGTAATGTTCGCGATACCATGAAGTTGAATATCTTTTTTTTCTTCATTTTATTCGCTACAATCACTATCTTTACCACGTGGTCAGACCTGACGTTAAATTACAGAAACAAACCCTCATTTACTTTGACTGAGGACAGATAAAAATTATAATGAAAGTTTATTGTCGCCAAGCTTTTTTTAAGTGACGTCAAAACAAATATTAGATTCACGAGATAACCGTGTTGTGTCATCGTAGTCGTGTCTTCCAGCGAACGGTCTCGTGATATGAAATCGAGGAATGACATGATGAAGCTTAATTTAACCATTTAAAGTAATCATTAATATGTTCTCAAATCTTTAGCACGTACATGGGTATTTCGAATTAAAGTTTTGTTTTCAAAATCAACAGTTTAAACATCGATGTAAATACGTAACAAACTGATCTCGGAATAACATTTTTTGATAAAATTTAAGCACTTTAGTTGGAGTCATCGTGAATTATTATACCAATAAATATCACCCGAAAATATATACATCGGGAAGATTTTAAAAGCATCTAGAGATACGTTAACAAACAAATGTTACTACACAAAAACAGGATATGACCCGTGATTTCCTTGCAATAACTTTGACTCATGTTCTGGTAAAACGAGGTGGGATTTTACTCGCGGATGACTTGAATAATAATAGACTGTGAAAAATGCCAAAATCATTTTATCTAGCCGGTCCTCTAGAACCAAGACAATTTTTTTATGTATAGAAAGTTCATTGTTTTGATGATTGAAAATTAAAATCCTTGTTGCCAGAATTCACGTAGGTTCTACGTAGAAAAAATTTGTTGCTTCTTGTTCAATTGTTCTTTATTTCGTACCATATCGTAAGAACACAATTCACACGACAAAAGTGTATCTTTATATTTTTATGAGAAATTAATATTTCCAAATAATAAGTAGTATTTTATTAACACCTAACTTTTTAAATCTCATTTTCACATTATTAGTTTGTGTTTTGCATGTCTTCCTGAACATTTCTTTCTACTTAAAATTTCCACGTGCATTCCACAAACTGATAATAATAAAATTAGATTGAAGAGTCATGTCAGGTAGTCACGAACTTTCTATAAATTTTGAAGCTTTGGCATTTTGTTCAGTCCATACGTGAAGTCATCCTCTTCTCATAAGTGGGTATCTGTAAAGAAAAGTGAAAATTCTTAATCAAACACAATGTAGGAATCTTCAGTTAACGACTTCATAAAACAAGAATCATTTTTTTCCGAGTATACGATTTGTCATGAATGACTAACTTAGTATCCAACGCAGTTCTACAGATATGAATATGTAGGGGCAAATGACCCAATCACTGCGTATTCGTAAATAATACAAAATAAGAATACAAGACTGAAAAATTCGGGAGCTTATACATTGTACGTTTGGTCATTAATAACGTTCAATACAGAATCATACTTTACATTATGAATATTTAGCACAGTAAAAAGTTTTAATACGTAGTAATGGAAACATTTACCCCTAGTCGAATAGATTTCCTAGCCATTAGAAAAAATAGTCAAATTGATCTCCGGCCATGAAAAACCACCCATACTCCAAACCCACCCCTACTATCTGCCACACCTCACGAACGTGCTGTCGTACCACTACAAGTTTTTTACTCGAAGAGTACGGCAATATATGTTTTTCATAGCATATTATTCCTTCTCTTGAGTTCTTTTTGCTTTTTCTTTTTTAGTGCGCATCTTAACAACTATTTGATGTGCATTTAGGGGAAGACGAAAATTGAGCTCATATTGTTAGTGGAGATAGCGGGTCGCTTAAAATGTAATCACAAAATTTTTTAATTCTTTAGTGGATAGGTATATAGAAACCGTTAAGTATATTCCGTAAAGTAGTCTTGAACGATACTAAGATGTGAAACAAGTAAACCCCCAAAAAATTGTTATAATTTGCTTATTTTACAATTCGATGCACCAAGAACCAATATAATCATCATACTCCCCCAAATGACCCGGGAACCCATTCGATTATTTTTGTGACCTTGGGAATCAATTTGTCAATGGACTTCGCAAATTGCAGCGCTTTATCACGAATCGTACTCGAAATAAAATGATTCTGTTTTCCTTAAGCCGTTAACTTTCCAATCCAAAATAGAAGTTGTCGACGATCACCGCAAAAACACACACAATCAAACCGCGCGCTATCGTTCGAGTAATCACCACCAGCTTCCTCCTTTTTTTTTTTTTTTTTTGCACGTCCAGCAGAAAAAAGAAAAGCCGCGAGACAGGGAAAAAAAAAAGCACAAACGCGATATCGCTGTTATTACATCAGTCGTGGCGACGACGACGTCGATGACACACCACTTATAAATCATGACGTGATAATAAAACATGCACTCAACAGGGCATAGTCCTCTCCTCGTTCTACTGGGGCTACGTGATAACCCACATCCCCGGGGGCATGATAGCCGAAAAGTTCGGGGGCAAGTACACCCTCGGCTTTGGCATCCTCGGCAACGCCATCTTCACCATCCTCACACCCCTGGGGGTCAAGTACGGCGGCGTGTGGACCCTCATCTTCCTCCGGGTGATGGTAGGCCTGGCCCAAGGAGCCGCCTATCCCGCCCTGAACGTCATGCTCTCGCACTGGTGCCCCATCGAGGAGCGCTCCAAGGCCGGCTCGTTCGTCTACGCCGGGGCACCCCTTGGCACCGTCTTCGCCACCATGACCTCGGGCCTCATCCTCCGGTACAGCGAGGCCGGCTGGCCGGGGGTCTTCTACTTCTTCGGGGGCCTCAGCGTCCTCTGGTTCGTCATCTGGGTCGTCTTTTGCTACAACGGGCCCCAGGAGCACCCCTTCATCTCCGACGCCGAGGCCAAGTTCCTCCACGAGCAGCTCAGCCAGCACAAGCACAAAAAGGCCCCGGCCGTACCCTGGAGGCACGTCCTCACCTCCCTGCCCGTGTGGGCCCTCGTCGCCGCCATGATCGGCCACGGCTGGGGCTTCCTGACTCTCATAAGCGACCTGCCCAAGTACATGTCCAGCGTGATGAAGTTCTCCATCGAGAACAACGGCTACCTGTCCTCGCTGCCCTACCTGTGCATGTGGCTCGGGAGCATCGTCACCTCGTACGCGGCCGACTGGCTGATCGTCAACAAGCACATGAGCACGAAGAACGTGCGGAAGCTCGGCAACTCCATAGCCTCGGTGGGCCCGGCCGTGTTCATCGTGGGGGCGTCGTACGCGGGTTGCGACCGGGCCCTCGTAGTTGCCATGATAGCGATCGGTATGGCCCTTATGGGCGCGGCGCTGCCGAGTATGAAGGTCAACGGGCTGGACCTGTCGCCCAACTACGCGGGCTCCCTCATGGCCGTGACCAATGGGATAGCCTCGTTCACGGGGATACTCACGCCGTACATCGTGGGGGTGCTCACGCCGAATCAGACCCTCAGCGAGTGGAGGCTGGTCTATTGGATCATCGGTGTGGTCTTTCTCGCGACGAATTTTGTCTTTGTCGTGTGGGCCGATGGGGACGTGCAGTTCTGGAACGACCCGGACTTTTTGAGGAAGGAGAAGAGCGACAGGAAAGCCAAGAAGGCCAAAGAGGCCGTGGAGCTGCTGGCCGTGCAGACCAAGTGAGCCGCCGGGTGGTGAAGTTTTGTGGCCGATCGAGTATTTTTTTTTTTTTTTTTTTTTTTTTTTTTTTTTTTTTCTCTCGCGTATAATTTAAGTGTGAGATTAGACTAGAGCTTGGTTTTTTTACATACATAGTTTCTTTCATGAAAGTGTTCAGTAGCTTTTTGTACAAATAGTAAGGATATTCTTGCGATCGAGTGATTTGAGCTACCGCGTTACGATGTGCAGTTAAGATATTACATGTATTAAGCAGATAGGTGTAGAAAAGTGTGATCGATGATTTGGTGAGTCACTTTGAGAGAAAACAATATATATGTATAAACTGTTGACTGTGTGCGCGCGACACCACATATATATATATACATATATGTGTGTGAGTGTGTGTGTGTGTGACATTGCTTATCGTATATGAAACTTTATCTTTTCTAGCGAACGGGCGCGTTAAGTAGGTGCTTTATGAATTTCCAAATAGCATTTTATCTACGATGAAAAAGGAAAAAAGTCTTTCGTTAGTACTTATCTCCGATTGCCTCAAATTTTAGTCAAATGCCATCATTGTCTCGGCAAAGCTTCGGACCGCGGGTGTTCTTCAGCTAAAAGTTACGTTTTAGCGTATTTCAAAGTAGTTTTCGCAACTGGTTTGTCATCACAAATTTATTTATATTTTTTATCCTAATAAGATACATATGTTTGTACCACTACTGTCGTTCGGCAGTGTAAGTATATACGTCTATTTGAGGATCTGAATGTAACAATGAAAAATTCGAGTAAAAAAAGTCATACAAAGGTAACATCGATGACTCGTGCGATGTATGTAAACAATTGGAAAAAAGTTGAATAAAGCAATCAGATCCATTCGTTCGTGAGTTTTATGATTTTTTATAAAAACCATCCACAAATAAAAAGAAATAATTGATTCTTATCTCAGACCAACACTACAGTAAATTACGTATGTTACGAGTAGTATTTCGAAAAGGCGCTTTATCTACGCATTTCAATAAGTAATTAACTACATATTTTCAACTAGAGATTAAAAAAAAGCGATTACTACTCGATAATGCTCCAAATATTGTCTTCGGGTATCGATGATTCGAACTTTCAGTAAGAAAAGTTTCTTCAACAGGTAAGCGTAACATGGTATACCCAACTTTGTACTCAGTGATTTGTAATTTATTAGAAATCCACCGTTCACTTCCTACTGTTTTTCCATTTTCTTCTTTTTCAGCGATTGCAATTATTAACTCGACAATCGCAGCAGCGCACACAAAAGCTGACATGGCAGCTTTACGTAATTGTAAGTAATTCGTCCAATCACCTGCATTCGAGATGATATTAAAATAATAATGAATGTTGTTTGATTCAGGCTCGTTTATCCCTCAAAGATGGGTAGTCGTATTAATGGCATTTTTCGGCCTATTCAACGCGTACTCCATGCGTATTTGCCTGTCAATAGCCATTACCCAAATGGTGCAACCTTCTATCGGCAGTGTAGAATACGTAGACGATACTTGCCCGGATTATCATAACAACGACAATACCACCATAAATAACAATAATGACACAGATATCGATGGACAATTGTACGATTGGAGCGAATACACACAGGTTATTATTATTATTATTATTTTTTTTTTTCTATACTTACAACCATTTTCACGAAATCACGGTCATTTCTGGATATTGCCGAGAAAAACGAAACACGTCAATCTTCGAAGAATTGCACCGAACATCAATTTTTTTTGCACGATAATCTGACCGAGTCAGAGTAATTTTCTTTTTTTGAACACTAACGATCCGTCGCTCCGAAAACACAGGGTATAATACTCTCCTCGTTCTACTGGGGCTATCTCCTGACCAACCTGCCGGGAGGAGTGATCGCTGAGAGGTTCGGGGGTAAGCACACCCTCGGCTTGGGCATCCTCTCCACGGCCGTGCTGACCATCCTGACCCCGAGTTGCGTCATCTGGGGCGGCTCGACCGCCCTCGTCTATCTGCGGGTGCTCATGGGGTTCTGCGAGGGTGCCACTTACCCGGCCATCAGGTAATTGTGTACCAACTACGCGAAATGGTCGTTTTCGACAGAAATTGTGACGTATACAAAATTTATTTATAACAAGAGTCTATATTTAAGTCAAAAAAGTTATTGGCTATAGTTGGACAACGTGAACATCGCATATTCTATATATACAGATGACGAAACATTTAGATTTCCATTTAAATAGTATGCATGTTTCACCACGTGCATTTTCTATGTAGTATTACGTACAACAACTTTATGTTGTCCCTTTTTTTATTTTCTTTCTTTTTTTTAATTTGAGTTTGTTTATTGTACATATATAAACTAATTAGTGGGGCAACAGAAATCGATAAGTATTGAAATATTTGTGAGGTGTACGTATAAAAAGCAATTTCATGAAAATTGTAAAAATTGATGAAACAAGTGACGTTAAAAACACTGTTTGGGGCTTCGGTACTTTTGCAGCGTGCTGCTCTCGCAGTGGGTGCCGCAGAACGAGAGATCCAAGGCGGGTTCCGTGGCCTTCTCGGGCGCGCCACTGGGCACAATTTTCGGCATGACGGCCTCGGGCTTGATCCTGCAGTACTCCGCGGGAACGGGATGGCCCATGGTGTTTTACTTCTTCGGTGGCGTCGGGATCGTAAATTTCTTCCTCAACAGCATGCTGTGCTACAACAAGCCCACCGAGCACCCTTTCATTTCCGAGGCGGAAACCAAGCTACTCAAGAAACAACTCAGTAAGTGCCGCTTCAAAATATATCTCTTCTAATTTGAAATAGCGAAAGCTTCACTATTTGCGCAACTAAACAAGATTTTCACTGGCGAAATAGTGAAAAATTTGGATTTTTTATTTACGCACTCCGTCTATATAAATTTCAATTTCAAACATTTATAAGTAATCTAGTACACCGTGAGAAAAAAAATAAATAAAAATTATAGAGAAATTACAGCAACAATGACAGTAAACCTTAAAAGGATCGGTTTGTAGGTACATTTTACTTTTCAGCATAGTAATTTTCACTGTTGTAACCACAATTTTTACTTTTCGAACCATAATTTTTATTGTTAAAACAATAATCTTTACTGTTAAAAGATAATAATTTTTTCCTCCTTCGGGCGTTTTTGAGAGGTTGCTGCGCCCTCAGTAGGAAAAATAGGGTTCGTCCCACATGTGCATCCGACCAGGGCGGTCCCAACAGTCCCTCGGGTGTTGCTTCGCAAGCGCCCTCGGGCCCAGGGACCACCCTGGAGAGATGCACATTTGGGACGAAATCTACTATTTTTCTTTTTTTACAGCTTGCATCCGATTTACTGTCCAAAATCGTAGTTTTTGTTAGAATTTCTCAATAGTTTTTATTATTTTTTTCTCTCAGTGTACCGATCTTTACCCGATCGAAGAGAACTGCACAACCCATGCATATATATTATTTCGAGTAGTACCACTATTTCATAGTAAAATCTACTATTTTGCAGTGACCCATATTCACCGGTTCAAAAAATTATAAGTAATTGAAACAGTGAAATCCCTCGTTTCCCTGTTTTCCAGCGCACACGCATTATTTTGAAAAAGTTGTGCGTACTTACAACTTTTTCCATTAGTTCATAGAATCAGTTCTTATACGCGCGTGGCCATTATTTAAAATTGGCTTCACCTTTCAGAGCACACGCACGAGAGTGTACCCCCGACGCCTTGGCGACACATCCTCACCTCCCTGCCCGTATGGGCTCTCATGGTAGCGACGATCGGCAACTCTTGGGGCTTCCTCACGATTTGCAGCGACATGCCCAAGTACATGTCGAGCGTCCTTAAGTTCTCCGTACGCGAGAACGGCTACTTCTCATCCCTGCCGTACCTCTGCATGTGGCTGACGAGCTGCTTGGCCTCGTGGCTTTCGGACCGGCTGATCTCCGGGGGCGCCGCGTCAATCAGCGCCGTCCGAAAGATCGGCTGCACCATCGCCTCCCTGGGGCCCGGCGTCTTCGTCGTGGCGGTCTCTTACGCCGGCTGCGACGGCTTCCTCGCCGTGGCCATGCTCACCATCGGCATGGCCCTCATGGGTTGCGCCATCAGCAGTATACTCATCAACGCCCTCGACCTCGGGCCCAACTACGCCGGGACCATCATGGGCCTGGCCAACGGGATATCGACGCTCAGTGGCATCGTCTCGCCCTACGTCGTCGGGGTCATCACGCCCAACCAGACCATAAGCGAATGGCGCGCGGTCTTCTGGATCGTCTTTGCCTTCTTTGTCGTCTCGAATGCGTTCTACTTGGTGTACGGGAGCGGGGAGCTGCAGGAGTGGAACGACCCCAAGTTTTTGAAGAAAGAGAGACGCCTTGCCGACAGCGCGGACGTCAAAAAGGAGTCGGAACTGCTGGCCGTCGAGTCGCAATTTACCGATCACGTCGAGCCTTGATGATTGGGTCAATATCGCGTAAACGCGTACATACATGTATATAGCTCCAAGCGAGCTTCGACTCTTTTGTTCCGAACGTAGAGTATTCGAAACAGTCGTTGCCGATAACGGATAATTTTAATCACCGAGCGCGCGTATTCTTTTGTCCGGACACTCTGGTAAATCCTTATCTGGGAATGTCTGTTTTGCATTTTGGTATCATATTTATCGCGGGTAGTTAAACATCGTCAAAAAAAAAAAAAAGTAGACTTTTAAACTGAAGGAAGTAATTGTAGAATTTTTCAAGAACTGTTATACTAATACTTACATTGTAATTCTTGACGCAACTATTGATGCTCAACAACATATCAAGTCTTTGCACAAAACTAACAAGTGTTTTTAATATTACATTTTCATGATGTGCGCATGAAATCATAAGTCTTGAAATTAAAAACGAAATCATCAAGAAGCGTTTTGCCAATTATTTTTTACTCCAAAAGAAAGTTTTTTAAGGTTTTTTCCTCTTTTTAATTTTTAAAATGGAAGCGTCAAATTTTATCGTATTACGTTACATAAATCACTGAAATGACGTACTGGTTAAAAATAAAAATCTGTTATCTTATGAATTGTTATAAGGAAATATTGGCGCACTTGTACAGATTTGAAAATATCGTATTCATTCATGGCCTGCATTGACTATTGATCAATAACTACACGTTTATTATCAAAATTGTCGCTCTGATAAAGCCCGATGTATGTAAAAACAAATAAAAAAGTTTATTCAAAATACACTTATTAGTATAATTATTGATAAAAAATCAAAGTCTTACAATTTTTATGCTCATGAAATCCAAATTTTGGTGGACAGAGTATTGATTTTCTATATTTAATGTACTTGACAACACAAAAAGTGATGTTCCGTGAGAGTTTGAAATGTATAGACATCTAAAATTAAATATCTAGCGATTTTAAAAATGATCTGTTGATCAGTTTTCATGTAAAAAGCGATCTCTGACAAAAATATTGGAACTTGTTGTAAAAGCTATTAATGTTGTCACACATGAGTAGTAAATGTTTTACAAAGATTCAGCGTGCCGTTCAACTTTCATTTCGCATGTTTTAATACAAAGTTGAGCTTGTAATGAATAAATGCCTGTTGTTGTAAATAATTGCAAGAATTTTCTAACGATTGATCTAAAAAACGAGTATCATATGTGAATTGTAACTACAATTGATCCAACAAAAAATATGTTACGTGCTTGGTTGCTATGTTGGGTGCTTGGGACCCAAGTATGAAGTTTTTTTTTTTTTTTTTTTTTAATAAATACCTACTTGCGTAGTGTATTTATTTGGAAGCTTTATTAAATACTTAAAGACTTTCATAGCTACAGTAATATTACAATTTAGAATTATATTCAAATAACATTGGGGTGAGGTACTGTAGGTTTTAACTTAAAACTAATCTTAATCCTAAGTCGGTGTCGTGTATTGGATTCCGAAAAAAATCATAAAAAAAAAAAAAGTATGAAGTTGTACTTCTACTATAACAGACAATGTATGAACGTAGAAATACTTTTTATGAAACGGTCTTTAAAATAACCTATACCTACTGCGATGTATCGAATTGGTGCTATTATCCTTGGAATTAAAATATTTAGTAATTAGGTGTAGCTTTAATACGTATTTTATTATTCAATAAATAATTAAGAGAATACATAATTTAAGTAAAAATATAAACATTATAAAGCACAGTCATGGCACCACGTGTAGTCAGACTGTCCAGTACGAGTCTGCCCACTTACAACGAATTTTTCAATTGTGTGAGAACGACTTCCTACACTGTTAAAACTCTAACATCGAGCTGGAATATTCTCATTATTAGTTGCGTATATAATAATCATAACCAGTATTTAAAGAAAGGCTTAGAAAAAATATTCTGTAGTACCGCTTTATCTCAAATAGTCAAATGGCGTATTACATGCCAGTGAATGAAGATTGACTCAAAAAATCATCTTATTCGTGAGAGAAAAAATTTTCAAAAAATACTACGCTATAAAAATCAAATTATTTGTCCAAAGAGCCTTGTGTCACGTTTGCATATCGTACGTTACACTTGTATGAATGAACCAGTAATGAAAAAAAGATGAAAATAATGTAACACTTTTTGAAAAAAATGATTAAATTGAGTACACAGTTCTTTATTTATTTTAAAATAAACAAATTATTGAATATAATTAATTAATGTAGAGAAAAGCTGCTCCTAAAGAATACTGTTTCAAAATTTTGAAAAAAATTTTGTAGTTAAATAAGTAATTTATTAATGTATAATTTAGAAACAAATTAATTGTAAAAGAGTAAATAAACATTTAAATTAAAAATAAGTTACAAACCACAACATAAAGGTCGTGAAAGGTAACTTTAATCTTATGAAAGATTGCTTATGACTAAGTGGATACGGTTGCAGGTACAAGCAGTGAGTACGATTTTATCATTTTTATTTGGAATTAAATTAAGGGGTGACATTAAAAAATTTACTTGTGCTATTTTTTCGAGGAAACAAATTTCAAATAGTTGATTAACTCCCACGCATAACCT